CCCTAAGCTTTAGGAGGTACTTGTTTTATTCATGCTTTTATTTCTAGTTTTATTGACTATTGTAACTCCCTTTATGTGGGCATAAATCTATCATCCTTAGATCATCTGCAATCGGTCCAAAATGCCGCAGCCCATTTATTATCAGGTACTTGCAAAAGTGAGCACATTACATCTATTCTTGCTTCACTCCATTGGCTCCTGGTATGGTTCTGGATTCATTTTAAAATACTTCTTCTGACCTATAGCGTCTCAAATAGTGCTGCTCCCTCTTATATCTTCGATCTTTTACACTCCTATGTTCCTACTAGAATGCTTAGGCCTAAGGACCAGATGCTTCTAGTATCCCGAAGGTCCAGTGTCTTGGTTTTTAAAAGCAATGTCAACCAAGAATCTGTATTCCGTCCTTTTCTTCTGAGCAAGTGGTCAGACTTGATTATGATTTAACAAAATACTCACAAATGAATTAATTGAAGACTTACATATTAAATCAAATGTGCTTAATGAAGTAAATAATAAAGCATTTGGACAAAAGGAATCCATTTAGGACACAAAACAGACCATCAGAAACCCCAATATGCTAATCGGTCTGTGGTGTGCTGTTGTAATGAGAGGGAACACTGGCCAGATTTCACTGTTGCCTACTTAGCAGCAACAATGAAATAAATCTCACACAAATCTTGCTGCCGTGGGGGAGCTGAATCTCGGCAGAGAATGTAGCAAAACCGTCTAACGCCAGAGGACAACAGCCAGCTTCATAAATATGGAGGGCAGGGTGTTGAGGAGCGGGAAAGAATATGAATATTTTACTGAGGCCAGTGGGAGAGTGATGGTGAGGATGGTCAGAGAGCGTACAGCTGGTTGCTTTGGTGTTGCGTAACACACACCCAAAACAGACGGACACTGGTATACAAAGTGAAAACACACAAAAACACACACTCGGGCATACTGCTCAGCAAGTAGGAGCAAACAACAGCACACACACACACACAAAACTACAAAGAGACATAAATGATCACAGACGACAGAAAAGATGAATGGCCCCACATAATTCAACTCATACCCACACACACACACGTTGCTGTTGTCCACCCACTACTCTAATCATCTACCTTATTTCCATTATACACAAGATGCAGCTCGTCTGAGACAGTAACTGTCTTAACACACAAGCAGCATAAAGACATGACAGTGAAGAAAAGGGAAAAGAGGCAGAAAGCGATGTACAGTAGGAGGCAGCATACTATACTGTACAAGCTACAGCTGCACACAAACATCTCCTCAATCAAAGCAATGTTACCCTGATGAACTGCTACATTTTCTTGTTTGTTCCAAAATAAAAGACTTTTTTTTAAAAATGCCAGGTAATATATGTACAGTATGTTTTCCTTTTTGCTGACAAGTATTAATTCTTCTAACAAGCGCTGAGCAGCCAAAGCGCGGTACAGTATGTTTTATCCCTCTAGAGCTGCACTGATGTCCGACAACTGTTAAATGTAGAGCTGGGCGACCAGGCCAAAATCACATCTCTATTGCTTTATCAAATACTTGAATTACTTAGAGCATGTACCTCTACTTAAATAATGAGTGAAAGTCTGCTAACCAATTCATCTGCTCCCACTGTCTGAGGTTTCTGACAAGCAATCATCCTGACATCTGCAGATACAGCTAGCATTAGTTACCACACTACAACAATAGACTGTAAAAGTAGAATGTGCACACTGCAAGTCAGCTCCCACAGCTCAGTCTTTTGAGACACTGTATTATCTCATCAACAGTGATAGCAGATTAGCGAACAGACAATCGTTAGTAGTGCGCACACACATCTCACTGACTGTAGTTTTGCTTAATACAGTGGTTGTGTTACTTACAGTTGATTGAAGACAACAACAGGCTACACAGGTATATTGCATTTGCACTTAAATGACAGCTGATGCATGGACAAGTTCACGTTCACTGCCAGTTACTCAGCATTAAACCCTGCAAATTATGCATATGGTACTCAAGTTTCCGACTTTCCAAATGTGCCCATTGTGTATATGTTCATATAAAAATACTTGCTTAAAAACACTTCCATGTCAGCAGTTCAAGGCTATAACACTGAAAAACCTCCACACTTTTGAGTATGTAGCGTGCTAACATGCTTCACAGCTGATAAAATAGCCCAAAGTAATAAAGTTTAGTTCTTAAATGCTCCTGCCAGCAATGACACTTAACCAGAAGTGAAAGCTGCTCTGTTTGTTAGTCACGGTTGGCTGAGACGTTATAGCTCTGCGCTACAGTTCCCTAGATTATGAGTTTGAATCTACCTTGTTCTGTACTGAAATATCACTTACGCAATTTTGTATCACTACAGGTTACACTGACATGAGCTAAAAGCCTGAATGCACTTTGCTGCTGTCTTTCAAGAACACCAACTGTGTGTTATCCACAGCCATACTGTAAATAGTCCCGAGCATACGTACTAAGTACTCCTGTTTGGTTAACATTTGCAAACAATACAATGCGGAAGTGTCTGAATTACTGAGCCTGTTTTATAATGAAATTACAGTTGTAGTAAAAAAAAAAAAATACCCTCCTTCAATTCTGATTTTATTCATCAGGGGTTAAAAAACACTTGTTGAGACCTCACCAAATTCTATAAACAACAACAAAAAACATATGACCACAAAAACCCCCAACAGATTTCAGTATGTGGTTTCCCAAAAGTAAACCAACATTCAGGAATCAGGTGGGAAAATAAAAGTACACCCTATAATTCAGTAACATGTAGAACCACCCACAGCAACAATAACTTGAAGAAAACATTTTCTGTAGGAGTTCTAGAAAAATGTTCTCTACAATATTGCTTCAATTCATTTGTTTATGCACAGCTCTCTAAGGATCCTGCCACATCATGTCAGTGGGGTTGAGGGCTGGACTTGGACTTGGCTTTTTTCTTCTTCAGCCACTCAGATGATGATTTACTGGTGTGTTTGGGATCACTGTCCTGTTGTATGACCCAGTCTTGGCCCAACTTATGCTGCTGGACAGATGTCCTCACATTTGTCTCAGGAGTATTCTGGTGTGGAGTTCATTTTGTCTCAGTGGCTGGAAGTTTCCCAAGACCTGTGGCTGCCAAACAAGCCCAAATCATCAGCCCTCCATCACCATGCTTGACAGCTGGATATGAGGTGTTTATAGGGTTATGCTGTGTTTAGTTTTCACCAAACACAGAGCTGTGTATGATGAGCAAACAGCTCCACTTTAGTCTCATCAGCCCAAAGGATGTTGTTCCAGAACTGCTGTGGCTTGTTCAAATGTCGTGCTGCCATATTCCTTCTGGAAAGAAGGGGCTTTTTCCTAGATCCCTTTTTGTGAAAGCAATACTTGTTCAGTCTTTTTCTAATTCTGCTGTCATGAACATAAACAATTTATGTGCTTAGTGAGGCCTGCGGGCCACATGGTGTACAGCAGCGCTTGGGTTTTTCTTTACATCTCTGACCATTAAATGATCAAACTGATGAGCACCGACATGGCTGACGTCCTTTTTTCTTGGCATGATGCAGACACACACGTCAATGCTCCAGAAGACCGAACTGCCAAATGTTCTGCTTTTATCAAAGTACAGCAGTCACACTTCTTAATGGTTGACTCATCCTGTGCATTTGATTAGTAACACCTCGCTGCTGATTACTCTCTTAAAGATTGTGGAAGCAGGAAGGGTGGAGTTTTGTTTTTCCCACCTGGTTTCTGAATGCTTACTTTTGGGAATGATCGCATATTGAAATCTGTTGTGTTTGCTGTTGTTACCAGAGGTTTTTTTTTTTTCAGGTTTATAGAAGTTGGTGAGGACCACACAAATGTTCATAGGCCCTGAGAAATAAAAACTGATTTGAAGGAGGGTGGAGTTTCTTTTTACCATGACTGTATACATTTGTGACCCCTTATATTTACATTGCCAGTGGGAACCAGTAGGTTTACACTGGATTAAGAGAAACTAACATATGGTTGATTTTGGTTCTCCCATGGAATGTGTTGACAGTAAATAAAAAAGGTAGAAAACATTATCCTTTAACTCTGAAGATATAAAGCATGTCCAAGATGTGAATCATATAATGTAATGTTTCACTCCCTCCCTCAGAAGTTTGTTCAAGGTTCTCATCATTCAGCTAAAAACCTACTCTGATTGTTTTATTGGAAAGGCCGAGCAAAGGGCGAGACAGCATGAGTCACATACACACTGAGGAAGAGAGGAGAGAGAGCGAGAGATAGATACAACTGGCAGAAAGGAAAACAAAGACAAACAGTGGTACCTGAAAACAAATGGAAACCCTCACTCCCATGAGCACTAGTTAACAAATGGAAACCCTCACTCCCATGAGGAGTGCATACAAACACACACACACACACACAGCACCCTCCATAAACAAGACGTTAATGTTAAAATGAGAAATGACAGCATTCCACCGTAAAAACAAAAACAAGACAAAGTTGCAACCACTGACTACTAACTAAACTGTAAACACACATGTACAAATGCTTCTTTCTACACACAGCAGAAATATAAAGCCACAAACACAGAGAGCCAATCGCATATAGCAACCCTACCCTATACACATGGACAAAATCACCTTAAATTACATTTTGCTGCAAGGTGAGTGCAACACACGCTGTCAGTGTTCCTATGGGCTTACATGCAAACACACACCCTACAGTACTATATAAATACAAGGTAACGGGGGAAATCTAACACACACACCCTCTCACAGAGCTTATCTGCATGATAACACAGACACACTTGAGGTGGTCAACACACACCTATTACCAACACAGTTCAATGCCACACATGCATGTAAACACTGTCACTCGCCTCCGCTTCTCCCTCCTCGCCTTTCCCACCTACTCAAAACACAGTACACATTCGATTCGACCCCCCCCACCCCAGCGCACACACAAACACATCCACCCACGCTCGCCACCACCCATCCGATCCCCCTCTCTTCCTCTCCGTCCATCGTTACCTTGCAGCAGGCTCTGGAGGTTGAGCTGTGCCTGCTGGTGCAGCTCTTCAACACAGTCCGGCCTGCTCCATGAGCCGAACACGTTCACGCTCTGTTGCCATGGAGACCTGAAGTGGGCCGCGCCGCCGCTGCTGCTGTGGTTGCCATCGCCGTGGCTGCTATTGCTGCTGCTGCCACCGCGCCTTCCGCTCTCTGCTTCTAGACCGCTGGTGGCTGGAGGCAGAGGGAGGACAGAAATGAGAGGGAGGAGGGAAATATGTTGGGAGGAAGTGATGGATGGAGGGAGGAGAGAGGGAGGGTGGAGTGAGGGGAGGGAGGAAGTGAAATAAGGAGAGAAATAAGATTATTGAGAGTGAGGTGGAAAGGAAAATCAGGAGGAATAATAGAAAAGAGAAAGAGAAAGGGAAGAAGAAGGAAAAGAGAAGCCAGGAAAGAAGGGGAAAAGGTGAGTGACAGGGATAAGAGAGAAAATTGGAGGTAGGAGAAAAGGGGTGAGGAAGAGGAAAGGAGAGAGGGAAAGGTGAAGAGAAAAGAGGAGGGGAAGGTGAACAAATGAGGGGAACAAAATAGAAGAATGATGGGAAGAGCAAAATAAAGATGAGGCAAGAGAGAAAAGGAGGGATAGAGGAGGAGAAAAAGGGGTGGATGCAGAGAGAGAGAGGGAGAGAGAAAAAAAAACAAAGTATGAATTCACATAACTAATACCCAGAGACATAGATTACATAACATAGTGTGTTGTCAGGGAGAACAAGCACCTAGGAAGGAAGGAGGGGTAGAGGGAGAAAGAAAGAGGGATTAGGGAGGGAACAAGGAAGGGAGGGTTGGGAGGAGAGGTAGAGAACAGATTTGAAAGGGAAACAGAAAGAGGGAGAGCTTAATTAGGAGGGAAAAAGAGTTAGAGCAAGATAGAGGGGCTGTCACAGGCTAAGAGAAAGAGGGAGGGAGGAAAAGGGGAGAAGGAGGGATTAGGGCAGGAAGCATGAGGAAAGAAAGAGACAAAGACTGAGACTGTGGCATTAGGGAGAAAAAGAACACGAGTGAGAGGAGGAGGGAAATATGGATGACATTTAAAGGAAGGAGAACAGAGGAATGAAGGTAGAGAGAGTTTGTGATTTGAGAAAAAGAGGAGGAGAAAAGGGCTAAAAATAAAAAAAGGAAGGAAATGTCGGCCCATGTCACTATCAACCCTCCAACACAAACAGACAATCAAAACAAATCATCCCGTGCAAACATAAACGGTCATTCAATGTCAACACGAGTGAGATGTCGCCTTGAATCAGTGCTGATGAAATAATTTGACACATCTAGCAGCTGATAAAACAACGCTAACAAACACAGGAAATCCAAATGTGACAGCAGCCACTGAGTAGTTAGGCTTTTTAAAGAAACACAAACTTTCTGAAAGGGCACAGACACCAAGGATGGTCACAGAGTAGAGATACCAGTCAACAGTTTATTACTTAGTATTGATAATGGACAATTATGCAAAATCACAGATTAGGTTTAATAGTGTAACCATCTTGGGTTCACCTGAGCAGATCCAGTAAGAAACAATAAATGCAACAACAGGCCTAGCTTCATGTCCATTAGCAACCGCTCCTTTTTATTTTTGTTTGCACATGCTAAAAGCCAAAGTTCACCAACAGTAACAGCAACCCACAGGTGACGCATCATTTCCACTGCAGGAAAAAAAAAAACTCATAATAATACAGAGCAATTATTGAACATGCAACGCCAGTGATTTAAAAAATACTAATTCCTATAACATGTTCACATGTCCACTACAGGATTAAAGTTTGGTCGCCAAAATACTTTGTAAAGACAAGTGAAAGAGCATGAATAAAAAAACAAAAAGTCATGGTCTGAAATAGGAGTGTAAATGGTGACACTACTTTGTGCATTAACACCAACCACTGGCATCAGCCGTACAGGACAATGTGTCCTGCCTAATGGCCTGATGTGAGCATACGTTGCAGGGAGAATGTAGGCATTATCACATGAATTATCATATCTTATATAGTGCATTCAAATGATCCCACAATGCAACATTGACAGTAATGAAGAGATTCCCACAGTGAGCTACAATCATGCATTGTGCATGACCTGAATAGCAACTAAAAAGGTGTTTTGACAACTGAAAACAACACACTATAGAACGTTCTCAATAGCGTTCCCATTGAAGAAACGTGGTATTTGCTGCTCATACTGTAAAGCAATTCCCATCTCTCTTACATTTTTTGTATTTCTGCAGTGTTCTTCTATCTACAATGACACACAAACAATGAGTGTGTTTACATACACTACAGATACATACAGCACCCTGGTTAGATCCCGGTTTTTGGAGCACCCTGGTTATGTGTTGCACCTGTAAACCTCATATCTGGCTTGAGTGCCCAGGTTTGACAACCCTGTATTTGCTGTGATACTCTAATAGAAACCGGGATAATGTTGTGCACCTTTTTCAGGTGTGCAGGTGAGTAATGCACCAGTTAGTCAGTAAAACAAAAACTACGATGGTCGGTAATATCACACTAACAGACATACTGTAAAGCAGCTAAAAGACTTTTCTTCAGTGTTTTAACATTAAATGATCTTTCACACTGCATCGTAGAACAGGGTGACCTGCCCTTTGATTAAGACAGGCTGTGTTGTTACACAAATGTCAGGCCCTACTACAGGAAATGTGTTCATGTCAGTGACAACTGCTCAGCAAACTGCTGAGATCCTTAGCTAAACGCCAAAATATAAATGTTGACCTCAACACGTGTGTGGGAAGAATCTCTGAAGAGAATGCTCCGAATCTATGTCTTCATTTGAAGCCTTCCTAAAAAAAAACTGAAAGAACACTGCAGTCATCCTGCAGCCAATCCACCGGCGCTATCACGTCTTGTTTGCTCTGAAACAGACGGCTCCCTCTCACAAAACCCAACGTACTGTATGGAATCGCAATTTCACCCTCCCGACTCCCGGCTTCATCTTCCTAAGCTGCTTTCACACAATCATGTCCCTCCAGAGAGAGCGACTGCTTGTGATACAGAAGTGCACGTCAGTTAGCATCAGCCTCAGAGAGGAGGACAAAGGCGATCTTGCATGACTTATAACAAACAGCGTATATTCTCACTTTTTTCATTTAGAGCTTTAAATACATTCATTTTGAGTAAGTCTACCACTCATTTGTTTTTCATTATTTCTTTCTAAAACTAAGCTTTGTGTACTGGCTGAATGCACTGTGTTGTACGTCTCGCTATGAGCGACTGTAAATATCCAATTAGGGAAATTTGGGTTTAGAGTGAAGATTCACCCAGCAGAGTTTACTGTACTGTATGTGTCATAACTCTGCTGTTCAAAAATAGTTCTCTATGTCCTGTATGTTAAATATACAGTCAAAAATCATTTTGAGCTGTTGGAATTTGAAATTATACTGACACAATGTATTTTAACATATACATTGGCACGGATTTAAAGCACACTTAAGGCACATGGACATTATTTTTATTGAATCTGCACCCTGCAAATAGTCACCCTTGCGCTTTAGGTAAATGCATTTTTCTGCACAAAACCAGGTCTGCTCATGCTGCCCATTTTGATCAATGACAAAAAGAAAAACCTGACTTATAGCTAGTGTTGTAGCTCAGTTCCAGGACTTGGACCTGAACAAAATAAGATGTTTCAGCCTTAGTAAAAGCAAAGCACTTCAGCTTAGCTACACAGTGGTGGAAGCTGATACTGTGTTCAGCTCTACAATAGGAGCTGCATGACTTTCAGGATTTCTTTTGAGCTGTCAGTTCTGATACAGAAGTCAACTCAGTGTTGACTGTTCACTAATGATGTCATCGAAACACACTGGATACTGTGGTGAGTGCTTGATAAGTCAAAGATATTAACCAAGTGTGAGCGGCCTTCCCAAAGTCACAGTTAAAGCATCTTAAAGTGCTGTATTAATTGTACATCATTTCTAAATACATCTGCAATCTAGAAGAGTCTCTTTAACTTAAATATCAATGGATATTAAAACAGGAGTACTTCCTACCTATTTGGACAGCATTGCTGTGTCAGCTGTGAAAACCATATACCCCACCATGGATCGAAGGACACAGTGGAGCTACTAGAGCTTCACAGATGCTAAATCCAACACCGAGTTTTTGAAGATGTGAGAAAAAATTAAATATATGTTCAAGTGTGGGTGAGTGTGTCTGTGTGTGTTTGTGAGAGTTAGGTAATATGTGCTACAGTCACACAAGCCTCAGGTGTTTCTGAAAGTGTGGTACAAATTACTGTATACACACGAGAGAGAGAGAGAGAGAGAGAGAGAGAGAGAGAGAGAGAGAGAGTGGCTGTGTGTGTGTTAACTACCTTGTCATCATACCTTTGAGACATCACAGTTACTGTGACTGTGTGGATTTCTCACTGTTCTTGCTGCACATAAACACAGCACAGAGTCATCATCTACTTAACAAGGTTTTTCACAGACTGAAAGCCTGACAGGATTCAGTTAAAAGGTACATCACACAACTGGAATTGTTAAAAAATGTCACAGGGACCATAGCACAACTGGTCAAACTACATAAAATGATCCGACTCTGGGCTGGTGATTGTAGACTTCCCTGTATTACTCTGCCTTGACAGTGGGTTTCTCCTCATCTATGACAGCTACAAGACACAGGAAGAAGACAAGCTGTCACTGGATTCAAGACCATGAAAAAGACAGTTCCTCATAAGACTAGAAAAGAACACAACCCGTCACCTCATAAGAGAAAAATTCAATGTACTGTGGCCATGATGTGCCAATCAGGGAGCAAGTTCTGCTTTTCAGGGATGCTAATGCTCGAAAAAATAACAACAGTATAAACTTTCACACCTCACTGAAAACAAGCTGGGATTTGTTGCTACCTGTAAAATATACATCAAATTTTGTTGAGCAATTCAAAAAGGTCCAGTTGTGAAATAGATGAATAGACAACTTTGTTGGCTGGCTAACCTTCGCTATAGTTATGTTAGCAATCTGAAAAGAGAGGGAGACTTGTTTCCTTTGAGGTTAACAATTAGTTTCTGAATGAAATCTGAGCAGCAGCCAAACATGCACAGGCTTAAAGTATACAAAGCATACTCATTGCTCCCCGGCGTAGATGTCAGGTTTTTCCCTTCCCTCCCTTATGTAACCACGGTGACATAAAGAGGAAGGAAGATGGAGGGATTGGATGGAAGAGAGACAC